GATACGGCGATCCGTGGGCGACGGAGGACCCGTCGTCCTTGAGATGGCTGGATCGCGCGCTGGATACGCCCGAGGCCGTGGTCCCCTTTTCGGCGTCCCGGGGGAAGCTCTTCGGGAGGTTCGAGTACGGACGGGTCGGGTGGGTGCCCGGCCGTGTATCGGTCTGGTTGCTGTGGAGAGAGGTGATGTTGACTCTGCTCATCAGACCCGGGAACATCTTTGTCAGGAGGGGACGGAGCGTCGGGAGACAGGCGCAGGTGACAGCCGATGAGATTTCGCCGATGGACCAGAGCGAGGCGTCGACGTTGGTCCAGGTGAAGTCTGCCGGTGTGCTGAGGTATTGAATACGTACGATCGAGATGGCGACGGTGCTGGCCTTGGGTGTTACTAAACGAACAAGCGAAGCTCCTCATGCGTGGGACAGAACCTCCAGGGTCGATGACTTACAAGAATCCAAGGCTGAAGATGCCCATGAGGAGTGCCTTTTGTTTCCGCGGCAGGCTGAGATGCCAGAAAATCGGCAGCGGCAGCGCAAAGACGGCAACGTCGGTGATGATGTTTCCAGCTGCGTTGACGTACCACTGCGGCTGGTTGGGGATGCAGTGCGACACGACAGACTTGTCCCAGAACCCTTCGACTGGGAGGCATTGGAACGCGGCGATGAAGACCTGCGAGGTTGACCAGGCGCCGACCACGAGGAGGGCGACTGCGTAAATTCTACGCATCCGAGGGACGGCCATGATGCGGTAGTACTGGCACAGGAAGGAGAGTTTGATGGCGAGCAGGGCGATGTTGTAGAATACGATGGATATGTAGAACATCTTGGGTTGCAGCGTTAGTCGAGGGAACCAAGCCATCGTCACTACTGTGATGAGGCGAGTGTGACTTTGCTTACGTGCATGTATTCTACTATATCCGCTGGCTTGAGGACGACGATGTGTCTGCCAAGACCATAATTTGTCACTTTTTATAGTCGTCAGCTAATCTTCCTCCGCTAAATTGGCATGAGTATATGACTTACTGAGTGCGATGGCGACGCCACAACCTGTTGTTGCCAACTAGAACAACGAATCAGATTCAACATCTCGACATTGAGGTAGACATTGTCACTTTCACTCACCAGAGCTACAACAGCTAGTATATCATCGATACCGAAGAGCACGATAACCCTTGTCCTCGTATAGATCCTCAACCCAACCATCGCCGTCACAAACAGGATGCAGAAAACCACAGATGCGACCACCGTGGTCCTTCGATCATCTTGATAAACTTCTGGTGGGATTGTTGTGTCCATGTTTGCGTCAACAGGAAAGAAGAGGCAGTATAGCTAAACCAGGCCAGATTCCTGCTGGGGAGTGATGAACTGAATGACGGGCACTGCCCGTGTAAGAATCACCGTACAGATGGAGGATGTACGAGAAGGGAAACAAAAAAGGCAGGTTGAACAGGATATGATGTTGTCGGAGATTGTTCGTATGCTTGTCGGGGATACTCGAGAGATATTAGTGAAAAAAGAGCAGGAGCAAGCAATGCAAACGAACCACTTCAGTTCATTCTGGGGGGTGTTCACGAAATAAGACGACACGAACGGGCATACCCAGACTTTTCCAAACAGCGTTTGCGCGAGGAATTGCCTTTGGGTCTAAGCTGCCCAGTACATCCCATCCCAGCAGATGACCGCTGCCCATCGTAATCGAGTCATTCATTTCTACACAGTACGCCTCCTCACATGGAAGGCCTGTAACGCCGAGCAACTGATCCCGGGGGGAAGAGGGATGGGAGACTTCGGAGCGCGGCCGGATTTGTAGCCGCGCGACGTTCAGCAATAGAGGAAACGGAGGCGGAAACAGGTTGACGGGGCTTCCCTTCCCTGGGATCAACTTAACCCACCCACATCGCGTGAGGCTCCACACGTAGAGTTGCAAACCTACAACACAGTATCGAAAATACAGCGTGACAGCTTTTCTGACTCTTCAACTCCCTGCCTTTGTGGCATCGGGGGCGAGAAAGAGGGGTTCGCTAGGAGTTCATACAGGCCAAAAACAGGCTTATCCGAACCAAGATTCTAGTTCATGAGTAGACGACTCATCCATGTCCGCACTCCTTTGATCACTAAACTCGACCAACATGAACAAATGAGGGAAATATGAGATTGGAGCGAGCGAGGGAGCGGGGCTAGACACTCAATAATACACTTCCCGAGGGATGACCAGAGTTTAAATGGCGGAAGGCCATGTTGCGAAAACTAAAGAAGCGAATACCTATAAACAGACTGCCATATATAGCACTATAGTTATCTCGGAAAGAGACAAGAGAGGCCAGTCATGGGTACAAAGATCGGATGTCTTCAGAGTTTTCCCTCCCATCGCTGTCCTCTTGTGAAGCAGCTCTTCTAGATCACCTGCTGGCCCTTGGCATGACACACAGACATAATGAACCCACGTAAGAATGGCAACCAGCATAAGCCACGGGGACGACCACATAGGTTGGAACTTTGTTTAAGAAAAGAGGGATACGGATACACACAATGACAAAGAATGCACGGATATTCAAGAAGGCTTGCGATGACAGCGGAGGACCTTGCTCGATGACTCCGGACGCAGGTTGCGCATCGAATCATGATGCGCATCTTGCAAAAGCCCAGCCGGGTAGAGTTGGTCCACGGCACTCGGTCCTCTTTGCTCTGCCATCCATCATCCCACCATCTTGGAAGGAAACAGTCGCTTCTACGACGGTCATCTACGCAGAGTTTTTGATCTTTGGCTTTTGATGTCTATCCGAAATCTTGGAGTTGCATATTTGCCTGTGTCTATCCCATCCCGTTGAACTCTTTTATGTCTCTCCCCGCTCCCGCGAGAACGGCACTTGATCCTCCCGACAAGTTGTCAACAGGTTCGGTCACAAGATTACCAGACGAATGAGTTAAACATCGATTTTATTACCAAGTTTACCGCGCGAGCATACACGGAAGACGAGATTTCTATGCGACTGATGCTGCTATATTAGCTTCACCCTTTCGAACTCAATCTTGCTCCACACGTTCTAGCAATACACCCTTCCATCGATTGATATGCTTGACACGTGCGATGGACCAAGAAGGCATGCTCCAAAACCTCTGGAGATGTAAAGACGACCGAACCACAGAGGACGATGCTCCTCATTGCGGGAGCGGGCCACCTCGGAAGCTACTGCAACCAGACGTTCAGTCATCATGTCATGCAACCCCAGCACGGCCCGCATGCCAATGTTTTTCATTTTTCCATCTGCTCTCTCGTCTCTGGTACCAACATTTCTATGTCCCGTCAAATAGGTAAAGGAAAGGAAACAAAGAGACAAGAAGGGCGAGGATAAGTTGAAAAAGTGATCGAAGTACGCGCGTCGTGTCCCCGTGCGAATCGCTGGTTAGTTCATCCAACGAGCGTCCTTTACTAGAAATGTAGAGTATGAACTATGGGCGCAAAGACGGGTGGAGGAGCACGAGTCGCACCCATGCCAGGCTCCGATGCCTCTCCCCTGCCCAGCTGCCGTACCCGGGACCGGATCCTTGGCCGTCGTGGCCCGGCGTCTACGATTAACTGTTTGTCGTGTCCAGTCTCTGTCTCGTCCTGTCTCGACGCAAGTCCGTGCAACATGTCGCTCGTCGTGTCTTCGAGGTTCGTGGTTCGTCACCGTCACCCAAATCTCACCTCTGACCAAGAGGGCAGAGAAAACGTCTCACCGTGTACGACTGAAAAGTTGTTCTTCTCTCCTATCAACATACCGTGCCCCAGACTATAGGGCATACATGATACCTACGCCGCCTATACGGTTCTATCACAGATACACACTATTCAGGGTTCTCCTGAAGTTGAGTTGGGCAAAAGGCTTGACTCAAGTCAGCCCCCTTCGGGAGCATTAGAGGATCATCGCTTCTGTGAAGCCGAGAATTCTGATACATGTGACGAATCTGACAAACCCTCATCGTGCCAAGCGAGTTTGAATGTCACCGCAGCATGCAAATCAAATTCTCAAATACTCCACGGCCGAAGGGAACCTGTAGAACATCGGGATCGACTTGCTGTGACGGGTCATTTGCAAAACATTTGTTCATTCATACGTTGGCCAGATGTGAATTGCCTAGGTCAGTTAGATCAAGGGTCTCTGATATCTCTCTATTGGTTATCCGTAGATTCCGCATCATCGCCGTCGCGACAGACGATCGCCTGCCACGTGCCAGTGTTGCATTACCGATGCTTGAGTGGTAATTAAGAGCAGCGCGCTTCATGAGGCGTACCCGATTCAGGCGCGGCTGCAGAGTTGTCTCGATTCTCGGATTCATGTTCAGTAGATGCATCGAAATTTGGTAGAACATCTTTTGTCGTCCTTATGCTTTAAGCCTTCGCCAACGTCACCAACTTCCAAGGCCAAGGACACACTAGTCGGAACCGTCACACGGCAATTTCCAAGTACAGACGGAAGTATGCCTCGCAAATGAGACTTGCAAATGGTATACTTCGTTTTAAACCGTGATGTATCATGTACACTACGCAAAACTCGAAAACGCCGCCCAATGCCGAGTCTTCAAAGACTTTCAGCCCCCTTGGGTTCCTTTCCCCATGCAATCCGTATGCTTTTGCCATGGTATCATTGCCGTTTTCCCCTGAAATCTATTATCATCATATTTCAATAAGTTTGTGCCCTATTTTGAGCCCATTCCTTTCAGTGACCCATGAACTCCATAATCGCCAATAGCCGTTTTGGCAACGTCGCTGATTTCGTCTTTGACATCATCCTTCCTTGCTGCTCGGCCGAACGCCAGCTTTGCACAGCTTCTCAAACAGCAGGTTTTATCGAGGTCTTGCTGTTATACAGGTGGCGGCTATTAATGTTGCCACCACAGATATCCGTTCACAATGTCGTCCGAAATGTCGGATAAAAAGCCGTTGGACAGCGCAATCTTGAAACTGAGCTTTTGCCAGCGTCAACTGCCAGCGTCGGCTGCCATTCAGATATTGACGAGCTTAGCTGGAGCCGTCCATCTCTGGCGGTCGATCTGTGGCCTCATCCGTTGTGATCTCCGCAGATGTGTCCACGTCTACAGGCCGCGGAGATATTGTAGGTGTCGGTATGTCGTCGTCCTTCCTCTCCTCAGTGTTCCGAGTGTTGAACCAGCCGCCCTTCTCCCATTGCCCAGGTGCATATAAACATGAGGCGCGCACTTCATCATCCACAATTCCCAAGAGTAGCGTGTTAAGTCGCTTGAAATCGATAGGCTTGAGAATCCACCCATCAAATCCGGCATCGATGTATTTGTCCTTCTCTCGTTCAATGAGAGATGCAGAAACTGCAAATACTGGAATACGGCCGTTGTGAGTTGCAATCGCTGAGTGCCCACCATGGTCGCTGGACTTTTCATAGGCTCGTATCATCTTTGTACTTGTGAGGCCATCTACAATCGGCATCTAAGAAGTCCAGGCGTCAGTCAGCCTCAAACAGTCTATAGGGGCTCAGTATGACATACCTGCATATCCATTAACACCACATCAAAGGTTTCGGGCCTCTCCTGGTAGACGGTAGCGCAATCTTCGCCGTTGACAGCATGGGACACTTGGTGGCCAGATTTCTCCAAGCGCTTTCGCAAAATTCTCGAATTGATAGGGTCGTCCTCCGCAATCAAGACTTGGAGCTTTGTCTCATCGAAAGCCGAAACGACGCTTGGCGCGGTGCCGGCAGTGCTGCCGATTGTGCCAGCCTCCGACGTACCCCCTATCTTTGAGCGACTGTTGACTTCAAAGAGAAATCGTGAGGAGTCGCTTTGCTGTGACTTTGGTGGCATAGGTGTCTGATTAGTGTACTCATCTGGCACCTTGACAGCTCTGACGGGCGTTTTCGCATCTGTGACTGTCGCATACCCAACCTGTGGAGACTTGGAGGCTTCGACGCTTGGGATGCTGGGGTTGCTTCGACGCGAGGTAGGGGATCCCATGCGCCTCGCGGCAGCACTATGGCTCTCCGAAGACCTCGGTCTCTGTGAATACTCCCAAGACTGCTGCCGCGTAGTCGATGGTCGGTTCATGTCAGCTTCACCAATGGAAAGCGGCGTCTGGATTGCGTCGATCAAGCGATCCGCATCACTTCTAGAGCTCTGGCCACTGGCCTTGCTTCCGCCCGTACCTGTCGTCTTCGCACTTTCGAGGCTTTGCGTCTCGACACCCATACCATCTGTCTCGCCTTCCTCAATCGCCGGTATCTTGCTGCCGCGATCGATGAGCATCATCTCGCCGTCGTTGTCCGGTACAGTTGCGGTTGCGACAGAAGCCACACTTGAAGTAGGACCCGACTTTACAGACTTCGGACCGCCTTCTGGGGGCGCAGGTACATCGCTCGGCAGATCAAATGGCAGCTGAATCACGAATCTCGACCCGATCCCTTGTTCCGATTTCAACCGTAGCTGACCGTCCATATTGCGGACGATTCTAGCAACGACGGCCAAGCCTAGACCCAGTATCCTGGAGTCTTTGCTGGTCTCATCATCATCTGGAAAGATGGAGCTGACCTCGTCAGTCTCGACGCTCACTTGTTCGAGATCCCTGAATAGTGTGTCGAGCTGCTTGGCCGTCATTCCTTTGCCCGTATCTTCGACAACAATCTCGACGCGTACCCGTCGTTCGAGTACCTCGCTGACGTATAACTCGACTCTGACCGATCCACTAGATGTATTTTGCACTGCATTGGCGGCAACGTTCGAAATAGCTTGTCTGAGGCGTCGGCTGTCACCGCACACATGCTGTGGTAGTCCAGGATGTTCTATAACCTGGTACTCGATACCCTTTCTCTTGGCATCATTGGTGAACGGGTCCGTTGCTTCTCGGATGCACATGCCGAAATCGAATACCTCGTCTTTGATCAAATTCTGACCCTCCTCGGTTTTCGTCAAGTCGAGTAGGTCGTTGATCACGTAGATGAGTGACTTTGAAGCGGAATGCGACTTGGCGAGATTGTCCCGTGTCTCTTGGTCGAGTGAGCCCTCCAACGCGATCTCCAAATAGTTGATGATGGCGTTCAGCGGTGTCCGAACTTCGTGGGCTGAATTCGCCAATAAGAGGCGCGTGAGACGGCTACTTTGCAACGCAGCCTCCTTCTGTCTCCATACTTCGATGAATTTGCCGTAGACCAAACAGAGAACGGCAGCTGTCTCAACCTGTTCCTCTGACCACTCTCGGCATTTCCGAAGTATAGTCTCGTGCCAAGTCTTGAAACTTTTCCTGGGCTCGAGATAGGCTTGAGTGCCCTCGCGAAGAGTCTTCTCGTACGGATTTCCCGCCCATTTGACCTCCTTGACTTGGCCTTTGCGAAAGAAGACAATAAAATCGCTACCTCCAACGCTCAACGGAACATACAGCAAGCCTGCGATAACGGTGAATCCAAGAGAATATCGCAGATCTGGAAAGTCCTCTTTGATGTCCTGAGATGTGACCACGGATGTAAGCTCCCGCAAGCGTAAGTATTCCAGCATGGCCAATGCCTCTTGCGAATGCTCAAGATCGCCCAAAATCTTCGTTTCTCCTCGAATGGAGAGCATGCCGAAATCTGCATCGAATAACTTCAGGAGATCGTCGGACGAAGCAATGATGTAACCGGAAGGATTGCTCTCTGACGGTGCCGTATTGATGAGCTTTCTGGCCTGCAGTCGAGTAGCATATGATAGCCTCTCGATGTTGCGAGACGCAGTGTCTCCCACTAAACGACACATTTTTCTGATGGGGAAGGAGACACGCATACCCTTCCTCCCGTATGAGTGACAAGCAATGAGACCCCAAAGTTCGTTGAAGGCATTGATGGACACCGACATCGATGACCGTACAGCCATGTTCTTCAAGTACTTGATGTGAATGGGTGACATAGCACGCAGGTAAGAATGGCTGAGGTCCAGTGGTACCTCGAGGTCTTCTTTCGCCCTGCAGACCAGACGGGCGGTTTCCAGGTCCCGGTCGTATAGGAGCCTCACTTTGTTCAGCTTATACAGCTCGCGAGCCTGTCGCGGTATGTCAGAGGCGGGGAAGTGCAGGCCCTTGTATAAATCTTTGGTGTGTGAGGTATCGACGAGTTCCGTAACCACTTTTCCGTTGAACGAAGAATCGAACTGATATATCATGACCCGGTGAAAGCCTGTCAGTTCCTTGACAATGCCCACAAGAATTTTGAGAAACCCTTCAAGGTTGATGGCCGCTGCAAGCTGCTCCTGAACCTGGGACATGATATCGAATACTTGCATGGCACCAGCATCGCCTCGGCGCTTGCGTGCGCTTCGCAACACCCTCAACGGTTTGCTCAGGATTTCGGTACTCTCCGCCAATTCCTCCGATGTGGGATTTGATTGCAAAGTATCTTCAGGTGTCATCGGCGTCGCCTCTTCCGGGGGTCGCAGTGGGAATTGATGATCGTCGTCAGCTTCAAATTCGCAAATGACGAGTTCAGGATGCGCGGGGTTGATGTGGATTGCGCACCAAAGCTTGACGCTCTTCTTTTTCGGGGGGCGGATAGCTAGACTGAAAACTTCGGGGCCGTTGATGGCTGGATCTGCGTCTTCGTCGCGAATGAAGTCGATATGGTCTAGAAGGTTATCTTGTTGCTCCTCGCTCAATATATCAAGGAAACTTTTGAGTCGGAAAAGCTGCTGCGGAGAGTACCCGATCAATTTCTCGGTGTTCTCGCTGGCGCAGCGGACAGAAAATTGGCCATGGATTTCTTCGCGAATGGCCACCAATGCGCCAAATCCCTGGACGGCTCCGGGGGTATGAATAGGCTCATCCTCGCAACATTGTAAAACACCGTCGGTGCCTGTGATGACATGATGCCCCTCATCCGTCATGGCATATTTGAAGCGCGTTGTTAGGAGACTATCGCTAGCCGAGTCTCCGAGGGCACTGGTAGACGAAGCCTGTTGTTGCGAATGCTCGTCGCCGGGTAATGAGTCCTCTTCGACATCTGAAGTAACATCCTGAAATATATCCAGTGGCTGCGAGGTGTTGTGACGTGCAGCATCGGCTTGGACGCTGGACATGGGGCCAGATCCGGCATTCTTCCTCCTCGCTTGAATTCCTTGACGGTCGCCAGGCGAGGTGACATTGGACAGCGGCGTGGACGCAGAATCGCGACGAGGAGCAGCTTCGAAGGCGGCGGTATCGATTCGAGGATTGCTCGGGCGGGGAGCTTGGTATTGGCCATGGTCGGGGACTCTAGGGAAGTAGTCATGCTCGCCAGAGGTTCTGCCGGTGCGATCTACGCGCACGACGGAGCGGATCGGGTAAACGCGATCTGAGGGATCGGGACTTGCAGTGTGGCCGAGTTGACGATCAGAACTAGCACTCCATGAAGAGGAACAGCTGAGGGGAGCGTTCACGGAGACGGGGGTAGGAGCTGCGGACGAGTCTGGCATGTGCGGCGTGACAGTGTCGGAACGGACGCTGGGGATGGGGGTCGCCTCCGAGGAGTCTGTCGTGGAGCGGCTGGCGAAAGAAACGGAGGGCCGCCGTGCGTCGGACAGGGCGTCCATGGTCTCGGTTGACTCTGGCAAGAGACCTAAAAGTCTATCAACTCCGACGCAGTTATGTGAACGAGGCCTCGCCGGAAGAGGCTCAAAGGTCCGTAGTCAGTGATACTTGGCATGGAGCGAAGGCGCGCAAAATAATGTGTTGAGCCAGCTGATGAGGTGCGAGGATACAGGAGGACGCGAGAACCTCAAAAAGAGGAAGTGGCGAATGAGGTGGGAGGGATAGGAGACTGATGCAAATGCGGTGCAAACGTTGGTAAGAAGGAATAAGAACCGAACTCCAAGGATTCGAAAAGAGCGCAGAGGCTCGCCGCGATCTAGAATTTCCCTTGTATGGGTGCTCTTCCCCCCTGCTTGCAGTGCGGTGCGTAGGTTTTGTCTACTCGATCATTCGGACGTCGAAGAGGGGCGTGCGGGATGGGGATGTCGGGGTGGGATGCAATTGTGCACGAACGGGTCGAGATTTGGTGGCAGTGGGCCGGGGTTGGGAAATGGGAAATCGAGAGCTGAGGGCGCAGGGCGAGCTCGTGGCAAAGTGAGGTGGGTAGAGCTACCTTGGCCAGACTGTGCTGGAGTAAGGGTAGCTGAGGCAGACGTCGAGAGGTCGTTGGGCTTGTAAGGTAGAGAGATAGAGAGAGAGAGAGAGAGCTCCGCCTGCTGCGTGTCGTATCGTCTGTCGAAAGAGCAACAAGAAGTGAAGAGAAAGGAGTCTGGAGATGGGCACTTCAGCCTCGGAATTCCTCAATTCTCAGGCTGTGTCTGTGGTGGTGTGGTGTGTGTCCCAGGTTGGATCGATCGATGAAGGAAAGGCAAGTCGAGGGATGTGTGTGTGTAAGGTAAGGTAAGGTAGGTAGCGTACCCCCAGGTGAGCAAGCCGTGAATTCGTGGCTGAGAAAGGGTGGGTGGCCAAAGCAGCACAATTGCAGGAAGCGCTACTTTGATGCCTTGTGCCCAGTATAAAGTGAAGACCTTATCCAGACGTTAGGGGAGAAAAGGTAGGTAAGGTAGGTGCAATAGGTAGATGGCACGAGGAAAGATAAGGTACCTTTGTTTCAACCAGAGTTGGATCTGAGGTAGAGGCGATGCGAACCGGTGCAATCAGTGGTCAGGCAGGTGTTGTGGTGAGGTATACCTTGGAAAGCCCGGTCGAGGGTTGGAAGACGACGGCAAAGACGAACAAGAGACGAGGCTAGTGAGTAGGTATTGCCTATGAAGGAGTGGCTGATGGAAACATGCGATGTGTGAACACAGGTGACAGGCTGAGGCCAGGTAGAGTCGTGAGTGTGAATAGACAGCCAGTGACGGGGATCTTTCGAGCCCCAGCCCGAGAGTGGCAAATGAAGAATTATCACCCACCGCACGGATACAAGGAAGGGGAAGGCGAAAAGAAGAACGGCAAATAGGCAGGGTTAGTGAGGTGAGATGTCTGGAGAGGCGAAGAGGGGCCGGTATCCGTACCTTACGCAACGACGGCTACAGTAACCTATGTAAGGTAAGGATAATGAACAAGTAGCTGCTTTACAGGCGCCTTTACACCCATATACACGCTTCTGGTTTTCTTTGCTGTACAGTAGGTATTACCTGCGAGCAGAGAGGCAAAGGCAAGGGAGGAAAGCCCGTCTCATGTGCCGGCGAACATAAAATCCGAAAGGGTACATTGACCAACAGGCAGAGATCGGAGGGTAAAGGCAGAAAGGCAGAAGTGACAGCCACAGGGCAAGCGTCGAAGCAAAAGCATTATCCGTACTACACCAGAAATAACAACCCGACCCAAGGTAATGACGCAGACAACACAGACAGCTAAGTCATGCAGGCACGCAGCCCTGGAAAGCAGACGAGACGGGCACACAGGCACACGGGGAGACTGGAAGGGAAAGACAAGATGACGACAAAAACAGGAATGAGATGCGGCGTGGCCCGGTCCAGTTAACTCAATCCGATCCAGTCGCTCCCAATCATACCCAGGCCCAGTCCCCAGTCGAGTTCAATCAGGTCCAGTCCAGTCCAGTCCAGTCGAAACCATGATCCACAATCCAGTTACGGAGCGGTCGATATGAAGGTCATCAGTGCTGGACGGATAATACCGTCTGAATTGTGAGCAATACGTACTCTGTACGATACCTACAGCGTGGCAGTGGCACAAAAAAAAAGACCAAGCAACGTGAAGCAGCAAGTAGCGAAAGCAGTAGCAGCTGGGTGAGGTACAAAGTCTCGGGGTGGATGCGAGAGACAAGACCATGGAATCATGGATCCAGGATAGGTAGGCCGCCTAGCACTGTTTAGTGCGCCGATCATCAATGGAAGGCCCCTCGTGGGACACAGGTTAGAATCGCGGACCAAGCCCACTCATCAGTCTTTATGGAGTACTGAAGTGCCAAACTACGTGACTGCGTAATAGTAACAGGCCCCCGGTGGGTGGGCCCCCAAATGGAGGGGAACACAGGAAAGAGACCCAGGGGAGACACCGAGGGCGAGAAGGGACGATTGCAACGCCATAATCCAAGGTCTTCCAAAGCTGCATCGTCCGCATGCGGTACCTACCTCGCTTGACTTACCTAAGCATCTGAGGTACCTGCAAGTATGTCGGCCACCTACCTTACCTTAGGTTGGTTAGGAGCATTTCATCCGGTTGCAGCGAACACGAGGCCCCAGGGACCCGAGCTGTCAAGGCCAACGTCCGGACGCCAGGCTGCTCTTTTACGCTGCTAAACTGTGGCTCCTTAGCTGCCATCCCTCTATGACCCTCCTCAAAACACGGTGAAGTGCACCGCATCACGGCGACCGGGGTGGCATGTCGGGTATACCTAAGTACATATTCTAATATACTACAATACAGAGAGATGGCCGTGTCTGTCAGCACACGGAGCCTCAGCCATAACTAGTTTCGAGTCAAGAATGAATATCTTTGCCGCAGGGCTCTACCGGCTCCTCTCTTATTCCACGACAAGATGCAAGATGCCAGACATCTTGTTCGCGCCGCCTATCTTGATGTAAGTCTCGGTCAGAGCAATGGTATGTAAGTCACGAGACGCATTCAGAGGATCGTACATGCGTAGAGTTGGAAAGATGTCTCGTGCGTCTTGGAGTGGAGAGAGAGTGATGGAAACCGTTGCAAGAGTTGAAAGTCGGGGCTGCTAATCACAGAGTGGAAGGACAGCTTTGAAATCCTAGCAGCAATGGACCAAGGTGTGACTTGCCAGCATCCGTCCACAACGGAGCTGTTACCAATGGGGATGTTCTATCCGGCCTGATGGTTTTTCGCAGGCGCAAAATGCTGGTTTACCATGTTTACCTAAGCAGCTAAGCAAGTTAAGGTAAGAGTGACACGGAGTGGGGTGGGGTGTAGGAGAAGAAGATCGGGGTTTCCAGCGCGCTGAAAAGGCGGGAATCGAGAAGGGCAGATCCTGCCTTTCGCCACAGTCTACCTACCTAGTGTACTGTAGGTATGTGTTTATGTACTGCAAGTCGGAGACAATCAATGACGGCGAGTGGAGGGGTTTTGGCAGTTTGGGTGACGACTGGGATATCCCCCTGACTATGCATACCCTGAGCCATGAGGTAGCTCACCTGATTGGATGCTATCCAGGCATGTCATAGGCTCCATGATGCGCTCTTTTCAATGTTGTGGCTGGCGTCAAAAAGTCCTGTGCCGAGGCGCAAGTGTCGGGTTTTGTTCTCAACCCGTGTGTGGATGGCACGCCTGACAACCCGCAAAATGAGAGAAAGACAGAGAGAAAAAGAGAGAGGAAGAGGAGGAGGAGGAGGTAGTGGTGGTGGTGGACAAGTGGGGTGTACAAAATTCGTGGTGTTGTCGAGGATGGGATTCTCAGAATTGCCTATCCTTCAAAAGGCTGTGCCAGTGTCGATCCTTGCTTGGACAGACTTGACTCTCCACTCGCGACAACTCTGATGGATCCCCAGCTGCACGTGCCGCCCGGACAACATGCCGGGCCTGCTTCAAGCTTGTGTGCTTGTCCAGTCACGCTTGCAATCCTGCCTAGTCCAAACTCCTCATCTTTCACTGTACGTAGGTATTTATTTTTGTACAGTATTTCAACTCCGAACGGGCATGCACACAGGTTAGATACTGTTTCAAAGAAAGACATTTAGCTGTAATATCACACAAGACCAAATCTTACTGTCGCTGCGAGCTCTATCTGCCATCCTTGGCTACCCATACCTGAGCTGAGGGGGAAACAGGCCTCATCCAAGTTGCTTCTCCAAATTGAGCATGATGGGGCCGGGTTCTAGCCCAGACTTCTCCTTTGATGCACTGATGCACTTCAACTACCTACCACCCTGGCACGGCGCTCACAGCAATTCGAGGAACAAGTAGGGTCTGGAACGCGGTCCGTACCCGACCAATTCTTCGGACACAATCAAAGACAACCTTACTGCCCAACATACACCATCCACATTCCATACATTCCTTATTATGCCGTGCCCAGCGAGCCCCCCCCCCCCCGCGGACTCTAGCTGATGGGCTAGGTATTCGTCGACATAAGTCTCAAAACCGGATTACATCTCAAATGCGGTGCCTAGGCGAGCAAGTAGGAAGGCAGGCACCCGCCCAGGCATCTTGGATTCTTTCTCATTTGCCGGTACCTTAGGCGGTAGACCCTGACGCCAATTCCCCCCACCGCCGAGCCGAGTCTCGAGCTAAAGTAACCGGGCACGCGGTGGCAATGAATGATGGCCGCTTTCTATTACGGTAGTGTAGCAGAGAAACCGGCCATCATTATTTACCACCGCGTGCCGGGCAGTCTGCAATTCCTATTTCTTCTCTGGCACTCCGCACACCTGACAGCCCGCCTTCTGTACGGAGTGAGGTGCCTACTTGGCCTGGCTCCTTAGGTAAGCACATACTGGTACTGCACATGACCATCCGCTGGTGTCTTCGGTAGCGAGGCAAGCACGCCGCACGCCCCACTTCCAGGGGCCATCTCAGCCCTGCTCAGGTCATACGTCATAAGCTATGATCCGTGCACTTTGCTTCCAGATCTTCCCATCCAATCAGAGCTCGTTCACCAACCCCACCCTCAAATCCGAATCACCGAGTAACTTATGACAGCTGCTTGGTTGAATTAGGTACCCAGCGAAGAAAACCTCTTTTTTGTCCCTTCAAGTCCAAGTTCACCAACCAACCCACCGCATCCGGCTCACATCGTTACTGGCTGACGGGCACTTCTCGCGCTCCGAGACTCTGGGTTCACAACCTAACCTTAAGCCTCTTGTCGGGTAGCTAGTGTCGACGTTATTTCCTGCAGCTGTTACCCAGGACCCTTCTCCCCTCAAGTCGACGCCACCGCCACACACATTGACATCCTGAGAACCCTTCACCCATCGCTCAACGCCTCACTAATGTTATCCTGAGCTTGCTCCAGCCTGACCCTGTCGTGGCCGCTGATAGCTACACTTCTCGGCTGAATGTGAATCGTGGACCTCGCAACTGCCCCGTCTCGTACCGAGAATTCGACTCTGCTGTGTCTGTTCTGTTATAGACAATAAGAACGAGGCACATGCCGGGCCCAGCTCTGGATGCGGTCGCCCGTGTCGGGCCCATGTCGTTCTGAGACCCTCCAGCGGGAGACACGGGTCACACGGCACACTGCGTCCTTTGTTCAAAGGCTCCGCGACTGGTTTCACTCACGTGCTGCTGCTTTTAGTGCTCGGTCCCTATCCGTCCCTACACATGAGCCATCCCGTTATCCGTGATCCGCCATCTCCCACGATGTGCCATCTCGAGCGAGATTCGGGTGCGGTTGGGGCTGACGGGCCATCGCTCAATCGGTCCAGACCCTGACAAGTCTCGGAACCCTCATCATTTTAAGCATAATCTCGCGGTGTTGAATCTCCGGGTTGCACGGCTAATCGATGTATGCCTGATGGGCGTGCTCATATCGTAGCCATGATGTCTGTCGGGTTTCTGTCTTATGTCGAGAGTGTTTGAAGTAAATAGGGACAGAGACGGAGGCGTCTTGCCTGCAGACCAGCTAAAGATATGATAGCATTGGTCATGAGGATGGAGTCTCGTCTTATGAGCCATGAGCAACAGGTGAGTTGACATGACTCTCAGCCTATTCTTGCAATTATGCCGCCGCCGCCACATCGTGATAACAAAGAGAAGCGTTCGAAGATCCCGTGGTTTCCATAAATTGACATTATTTTCCTGGATTGGTTCGTCTACTTCATAGTTATTCGCTGCTCGTGTAAAAAGTAATGTTCATTGACATGAAATAACCCACGTCACTTGGCTTGTGAAGATGGAGCCACACGCTTTTAGGAACTTGCTGCATTCGCCTGGAAATGCGGTGCTCGTTCATGCAAATCCCATTCGTACAGATTGACATACTTGCTGTATACAGATGAAACTGTCCCAAGGTGAGGTGAGTGGAATGTGTACATCGACGATAGGCCCTTCGACAATCCATACAAGATCCTTACACGTCCATCACATCGTTCCCGGCCCCACTGGCACCTGTAAACATTGTGTCGCGGGACTGTGAAACAAGAGCGAGCACCATGCTCAGAAATCAGACTTGGACAGCAAATCTTGACTTCAGTTGTGAAGTTGACTTTAATCTCTAGCAGACCAGCTTGTCATCTAACCCTCGACACTCGTTTCCTACAGCTTCTCCTTGGTTGCCCTCTCCTCTCGGGTCCTCTGTGCGCTGCTCAACAAGGCATAGAGTGTCTGCAAACGAGGCATCTCCACCCCATGGGCTCTAGCAATTCTCACCGGGTTGCCCAAAATCACCTCCAATTCCAACGGGCGTCCAGCCTCCCAGTCCAACAACATGCTGGGCCTTGCTCCCGTATTTCGCTCCGTGCTCTTGACAATACGATCCGGCTTCGCGAGGTCATCAGGAAACTCTCGTCCCAGAATTTTGGGCACCGCCGCTCTGATCTCGTTCATGATGCCTACGACATGCTCCCGAAGCTCCGGATCCGTGACCATGTCTGCGTTGCCCCTCCCGCCACTCAGCACGGCGCTTGGATTGAATGCGGCATTGATGCAGAGCTTGTGCCATCTCACCGTCTGCAGCCCAATCTCGTCGTGAGGCTCTACGTCGCGGATACCACCCCAGCCGGGACCCCACCACGTGCCGAGTTGCTCGATCGCCTTTGTACCGCGTTGGCCAAGCTCGGCATCACCTGTACCGAGGCCATTTGTATGCGGCCCTATACTGACCCTCGTCCATCGGTTTTGTCGGATGACACCTGGTGATGTCTGCTCGGCACTGACAATCGTCACGGCGCTCACAATGGGATTGTTGGGGAACCGCTGGCGAAATGGTTCCTCCACACCGACGCCGTTCTGAATGAGCACAATGCTCGTATTCTTCCCTACGAGAGGCGCGATCATGGCAGAATCATCGGATCGATCTGGAAGCGCCTTTGTTGTTACAAAGACAAAGTCCCACTGCGTCTGGGAAGATGCTGCAGCGTCGACGGATGGAAAGGCGGCATAGGGATGAAAGACGTAATCGCCAAATGTATGGGTCTGAAGTTTTACGCCCGACTCTTTGAGCGCCTTGTAATTAGATCTGGCAACGAGTGAGACGTGTATGTTACGGTCGGGCTAGGACGCGAGTTAGCCTGGCTGGACAAGTAAATCGAGGGTCTGGCAGAATTACGTGGTGTAATCGCGAAGCATAAAAGCACCCAACGGCGCCGGCTCCGATAAAGATAATATTCACAGCGCTACAACGCAGTAGTTGGGTTTAGTCCGGTCATGAAGTCGTCACCGTATCGCGGGCGTAGAAGTGGGCGTACCTTTCGCTGGAGTTGTTCTTCTCTGAGCCCATTGTATCTTCTTCTGCCCCTGGCAATACTAATTCAAATTCAACTCACTTGACCGAAGATGTATCAAAGTAAAGCTAGTGATATTGAATCATGCGACTCGCTGAGCTGTTCAGGGAAGTTTGTTGTCACAACTGAACTTGGCCGAGGTGTAGTTAAATGCGTTCCGAGGAGTTGCCGATTGGCACCGGCAACGACATCGACCCACTTCGCTATGTCGCCATTGGCCGTGCCGTGCCGGCTTGGTACGTCGGCACGCAGGTGAAAGGTTCAAGTCATCCTTCTCCCTCCTAGGCCAAGGCATGCCCCTTCAGCATCAACTAAAAGAGGTAAATTAATTTCAAAATGGTCCAAAGAAAAAATACCTGAGATAATTGTCTCTTAATAAGTAGTCTTTCCTTAGGTATCTTAATTCATTTAATACTAAGTAGGGTTTAAGTAGAAAGAGAGAGCTTGAGAGGACCGGCGAATGATTTTGTCACCTGCATGGCTGGCTTGCCTATGAGCGATGCTGTCCTCAATCTGTAGTTCCCTCAAAGCCGTATCTCTTCTGATAGTTCTCCTTTGTGTGGTCTTGAGGGACTTACTCGGACGGATACTGCTGTGACATACTGTCGACTATCTGCACTGCCTTTACTTGTGCGATTCGGAAGACCTTCATGAAGTAGCATTTGATATTCGTACTATCTTCCATCACGACATCAACCCGGCAACATATCTAAGGCATGGAACCAGAGGAAATCCCTCTGTCTAGTTGTGATCCTTCGTTGGCGGGAGACTGTGACGTCTTAATGTTCAAGTTATAGTGTCGATATCTAGTGAGCGGCAGCGATGGCGTTTGATCAGGTCAGGTGCCATATTCGCAGCCGAAGCGACGTCGGGGGAGGGACAGTGACGAAAACTCGTCCTCGTGATCCCGCAGTCCTACATTGATTGTTCATATTGAACAATAGCTCAAGATCGATGGCATCGTTCCTTGTCGTGCGAGTATCAAGGCATTGGGACGGCGCAATTACGGAGTCGCCGACTCAACAGAGGCCCTCTTGGCCGTCATAGTCCTTGGTGATACATTCAGGCTACTCGATTTGCTGCTGTGTATGGATTCATAGAGTCGCCACTCACTGCAACTTTCTCGTCTATGAGCAGGTTCTTTGACTTGGCGGCGGGCTATTGTGCTATTGCCACATAGTTTCGCCAACAGTAGCAGCTAACTAGTGCAGCAAGAACTTTCAGTGCATGGAGGAACAAGAGTACCACAGAGAATCCTGATAGATTCTTTTGCATTAGTTGTAAGTATATGGTCAACTTTCTGCCCACGCATATGTAGACGGTGCGTTGACCAGATGCCGGACTCCATACACCAGAAAGTGGAAAGATACCCAACTCATCGTCGTCCTGATAATAGGTTATATCTGGTTAAAATACTCAGCTCGTTCTTCTCCGTGTTTAGTTTACTGAAGTCAGCCTCGACTGGCCTCGGCAGAGTCGCCCAAGACCCGGTCGTCACGCTGGCTCCTAGACGCAACTCCCATCTTATTCTTTGGAGACCACCGTTACTAGAAGCAAGGTTTGTTCCATAAGTCTGGTCTATAGAGAATTCAACAACCCAGGATGGTTTCAGTCGCAGATCCTATCCCGTAGCCATGTGACATGGTTCTGGCCGAGTCTGGATGGTCTTTACTCGTTCGGACACCATGCCAACCCCATGTCTTCCCTTTCCGGCCTCCGCAACACAAGTCAAATCGAGACATGCCTCAGACCAACGGATATCTACAGATCTTTCATAGTATAAGACTCGCGCAACTATCAACAAGATTGAAGTCATCATCTCAACGTCGTCACAAGCACGACGAGCAGGATCTATGCAGGTGGCAAGAGGTCGAATAGTAGCGGAGCTTCCAAATTAGGACTTACCGGACGATGCCACGAATAGTCGCCGAATAATACCTGTTCCAGCCACACCGCCAGTACCGAAGATGAAGTGCGGAGTATCCGTATCTGAATAAAAATAGAACTAGCAAAATATAAGCTGAAGCTTAAAGAGGGGGCGGGGAGGGCTAAGTCAAGTGGACTTTCGCGGTTCAAGTCGGCTCCTCAGAGAGCAGCCATCAGGGAGACCGGCCGTTCACCGCACCAGGGGAGAAGCATTCACAAGAAGCGCTTTGAACGCTCATACATTGAAGAGGTCAAATCCAAGGTTTTCTATCTTTGCACGGATATCGGGTGTGATGGGGAATGCCAATGTTGATTGGCCTCTCTGCTCTCTGGGGGGGGGGAGGGTGATGTGCCTCGATTTCGCCGACTGTAACAGCATTCTGGCCTGCATTCTGCGAACCGCACCGAAAGCACACATGTTGTTGGCTGATCGGACGTCAATGGCCCTCGGCAGCCTGGGTATCCTGCATCATTGCATTTCCATTTATCCGACAGGCGGAAGTGCCCTGCATAGTCTTGGTCCATAATAGCAATTGCTCTTCTTCTACATAGAAGCGAGACATCTCAGCTGTCCCGAGATCTTGCGGTTCTGGATTGCCTGAAATATCTTGATTCGCGCCACCCCAGCATCCATTGAGCCATCAAGGGTTGTGTGAGGCTCCGGTCCCGTTCCAAGGTCCCTTCTCCCAAATCTAAATTCGCCGACTAGTCCTCAGGATTAGGAACCGTGACTTGTTAGCCATACCAATCGATCGACGTCGGATTCCTTCGTAATGGTCTATCGAACTCTCATTTGATATTTTCAGCATCGTTGAACGAGAATGGTTTAACGTCTCATGTCGTTAGCGGAAGCCGCTTCACTAGTGCGACCCGAACACACGACCTGCACCCGAGCTAGAGCGCGGGTCGATAATGAGACGAACTCGAAGACGAGATGATACTGGCCGAGGGCAACCGATTCTCTCTTTTGGTCTGGCTGCATAATGGGGTAGTGAGGGGGCAATGTAAGCAACGGATGCAATGATGCCACTCTCTGAATAAGTAGTCTTTTCTTAGGTTTCTTCACTTCTTCAGTGCTGAATAGGCCTAAGGTAGAAAGAGAGAGCTTGAGAGGACCGGCGGATGATTTCGTCACCCGCGTGACCCCGTAGCAAACTCGTCGTTTGTAGGAACTCCACGCGACTTTGGAGTCAATTGGAGTTATAAGATACATACTGTCGGTCAAACAGACTCTGAACGATTGGAAGAGACGGCCGGCGGGGCACTGATTGGAACGCCGTCACTGCTGTGAAGCAACATGTCGTCCGTCGACAAGTCTCTTTGCGGTCGCAAAAGTAGAGACTGCAGACCTAAGCCCAAAGCGGACACCGAGGGCTTCAAGAGTCTTGAGAAGTTGACTTGAGCAGAGAAGCCCCAAAGGTTGACAGTCAAGGACACCCTCGTAAGGGTTGACCAACGAGATGGACCATCAACCAGCCAAGTTCGCTCGGCACAGTCAGCTGGCGCCTGGTGGAGGGTGTGAGGGGGTCGCGAAGGTGCAGCCGACGGTCGACCTCATCGATGCACCGTGTCAAGAAGGGCCAAAGGTAGTGGCAGACGGTGCTGCAGGTGAAGCATCGACTGAGAAAGGATCTCCCAAGCAGACACGCAGGCGAGCGCAGCACCTCCCATTCCGAGTCGATCGCACAGACCCAGGTATTTAGCGCCGATAATTTGACGGGCAGCCGACCTGGCCGATGGCCAATGATCAGACGGAAGGAGGAAGGTGGAATGCAGACCATGCCGCCATACCACCCTTTCTCATCCTTCCGTCGGTTGGCCCGATCAGGCTGTTTTCCATGCAGACTTCTGGAAGCTGTGCCACGGGCTCGCATCTACGGATACACTGTAGCTGGGCAGCTGCGTGAGCCGCGAGCTGTTAGCTTGCAGCCATCGTCATCGTCCTAGGTACCGGCAATCATGTGCTTCTTTCTTGAGATACGGATACCTATCTTGGCAATCGAAGAACTTTAGCGTGAGATAAGATGTCAACTTGGGCAATCAGTGCCTGCATATACGTTACCTAAAGCATGGCAAGCACGTCTGCGCAAGGTAGATAGATATCGTGGGTATGAGGCAAGAAATACCTTCGCAGTAGGTGTTGATGGTTGCCGCCATGCGTCTTCTAGCGCGGTGGGGGTGCCAGAAATCAGGAAATGTTCCGTCGTCGTCCACCCGACTGTTCGCCCTGTCACAAAGCATTTGTACGGTATCCGTTATGTGCATCTTTCTCGACTGTACGGAGCACCTGAGGTATCTGCCCTGAAGCCCTGACTCTGATCAAGTACCCAGGCAATTCGCAACCTCAGGCCTGACTTTCAATCCAAGGCTCGAAAGACACCCGCAGATGTATGTGTGCCTCAGGTCGTACACGCCTCACAGGAGGCAGCTGCAGCCTGCACCGCCTTCCCAATTACCTCACCCCACGCTTTCCTTTCCCTCCCACACCACCACCCGCCGCCCATTTCTCTTCCTGACGAAAATTTTTCTTCCTCTTCTTCCTTTCACAGCAAACCACCACTTCAACCTTTTCCAATCTCGTATCGCCTCTTCCTCTGTCTTGAGTCGTCTTACCCAGGCCACTCGTCTTTTCTGTGTTGCCACTCGCACGTCAAGGCCGGCACCGGCAGACGTTGCAGTTCATCGCAGTAGCCGCCGTTGCCTGTGATGAGACCTTGGTCAAACCCTGGCCCTGTCATGAGTCTCGATCATAAGGCTCCATGCTCTCTTTTGCTTCACAATGGCTTTCGTCGGACACAAACCTCGCGACACTGCTACTGGAGACGTCGGTTCTGACACTTGAATGCGATATTCAGTTTCCCAGAGCTCTGATTCCCGCATTCATTTGCAGAACACGACTCCCATACCCCTTTGTACCCACAATTGTACCTGAGCATTGATGTGGTTATCCCCTCGCCATGTGATGTAATTGCCAGCACTACGTTTTACGTAGATCGGCATCAACTGTCGCATATCACTCGACGTTGGTGTTTTCGCTCCTGGCATAGAACAACTATTCAAAACCCGTTGCTGGGCACCTGGCTTTGAGCAGTCGTCTTGACTATCATGAGAAGTTGGGAATCAGCTGAGGTTACATTGACGCAAACATGTTAGAAACTTGATGTTTAAATCACAAACATGCGCTCTGCTATCTAGGCCCAAGTCAAAGGGATCAATATGCCTGAGTACCTCCCGCCAAGCTTGCAGCAGGCAAGGAGGCACATGTCAGGAATCGTTGATTTTTTAGCACGGTCCCAAGTCACAATCATGATTGGTACCCGCAAAGCGTTAGTATCGAGGCTGTGAAGTTGCAGTTCGTTCTTGGCGACTCCTGTTGCTGCTACCCTTAATGTCAGTAGCAGCAGTTGATGTCTCTTTGCTGGGTACGAAGTAATACTCATGGTAGTCAGCAGTTACCTTACTTTGTGAGCAGGCGTTGAGGTCGGTGTACATAAGGTAGATACAACAGACGACCTTTGAGATCCAAGGGCCGTGTATGAGTGCCAGTGACACTCCTATCCAAGGGCACTTAGCTAGTTGTCCAAATAGCTGCTGGGTACGAGTGTCCATACCCCGCATGAGCTTCAATTCAAATACTGCGCAAGTATGATCCGTGTCTGTAGCCGTATGTACACAAGAAGCGGCACGAAAAGCATTGACCAGCGTGTGTTTTGCGCCACCGTCCTGACCGTCGGAAACTGGAGGTCTGAAGGATCATGGATGTGTCTGTTCAGTGTTGTGGTGCAACTCCATGGGCACTCCAGAATCCGGACCCCAGACTCCAGCGTGCCATCCCACGTTTGGAACACCAGCCGGTCTCCACTCAACACTTGAGCATCACTGTCGATCAGGACCAACAAGGGTTGTCGGCGAGGACTCGAGGGAAGGTCATCACGTAAGTAGACTGTAGGAGAGACACGCGAAGGTCAGCAGAGTACTGTGTAAGCAATGCGGAATCAAGCGCCGTCCAAGCCTCGAGGTGCATCATTTATCGGCATGATTCGGGGCGTTCGCACCTTCATCCCGTCTTTACCGTCTTATCCGCAATGCAGCAAGGCTGCATTGTGCCTACATTCACACTCTGCAAATGACTTGCGGATAACGTACTTAGCATCCGTACGCTGGACGGGGTACCTAGTCGGACGGGATCGGGACGGGTGATTGTCTCGCTTGTTTCACCCAAGTCAGGTTCTGAGGATTGTTCTCTGTGTGCTAGTATGAGTATGAATACCTAGAGATACACGGGAGTTGATGGATAGCCTAGGCTGCCAAGGCGAGATGAGATGTTGAAGTCGCAACAGTCGAGACAAATACCAATTCCGAGGAACGCAAAAGTGCCTGCCAAATGCTAATCTTACATTGAGGTCAAAGTTCAGGTCCTTGAGGTTTTTGTATCAGTGTTGGGAACTGCCGCGCAATACCATGTGGCGTTGCTCTCATGATCCCCTCTAGGTCGGTAGGTAAGGTAGGTATGTAGGTACTTCATCACCTTTTGAACTCCCCCGAATGAACCTGATGCTTCCTGCCTTCCTTCTCGCCCAGTAAGGCATGTCACAGACTGCCTTGCTCTTACCTACTCTAGGTACCCATGTAGCTCCTTTGAACATCTACGCAGTATGCCAACTCCAGCGCCAGCCCCAGGTCCAGCTGCACGTAGCTTCGAAGGCCTGCCTGCCCGTGCCTGCCCACATCTACTCTGTCCCTAAAGGTAGGTCGAAGGGGGCCCACCCCACACAGAAACGGCTCTTAGGACCCAGTCATGACCTCCAGTCTGCAGATGTTGGATGCATGGACGAACCCTCCCTTTTTGGCTCCTGCCTGGTGGCTGCTGCTGGTGCTGCTGGATTCTGGAAAGACGTGACATGAAGACCAGGGCACGCCGCATCCGCCTCAGGCATGCGCCCTTTCGAACACTTGCATTTCACCATTCCAATTTAACCCGTTCACCACCACTACATACCTGGCATCGGGTCATCGCCCTCGCCGTTGTCGTGGCCCTTTCCCGTCCTCCGTCTTGCGACTAGCTATTGCCATCCTGTGCCATTTTCTCCATGGGCCCAGTCAGTTGCCAACTGAATCGGCCTTCACCGTAGCAATGTTCCTTGTGCTGAAGTAGTAGGCATGCAACACACGCCCATCAGTCTATTTTGATGTACCTATTGGGACCACAATCAGCAGCGGCGAGAAAGAGCACAAGAAGAAGCACAAGAAAGGTGACTGAGGAAGCAGGGAAGCAGCTACCGCCGCCGCCGCCGCCGTCTTTGCCAGTCACCCCAGGTCAACCTCAGGTGCCAGTGTGGCCCAGGGAAGGTAGCCGCGCCTCGCCTTCCTGTCCTATGCATCATCTCAGTCTCACCCCCAATCCCAATTCTTGAATGCGGAAGGCCCCAAACATTAAAATGGCTTCCCTCGTCCGCCGCGGCGCCTGTCACTTCACCTTGCCACCTGTCCCGCGTCCCTTCTCATTCTGCAATCTTTCGAGCACTTCATCGTGTCTACGGAGACTATTCTCCTGCTCGTCAGGCGACGCATTGCTCTCCTCCTTGATTGTCAAGGCAGGACACAGCTTGCGCTCCGCATACCACTGACACACATACGGGCAACAACAAGCGCAGACGGGAGTCCCAAGAAAGGGTTTCCAGTATTTACGAGGTTGCCGCCAGTCGAGGCCACTTACACATGAGCAATCATTACGTCTTTCGTCGAGCCAGCGCAAAGTCGACCACTGGAATGACCTACAGCGAAGGCGACAAAAAGCATCAGTAGCTACCATACCTTACCTCTGGTCCTTTGACTTTGGAGTCTTGAGTCTTAGAGCCCGTCCTGGACAGAGTTCGCGGTACCTATGCGTACGAAATTACGAATACTTTGCGAGTTTACCTTACCTGAGTTTGCGACCGAGTCATCGCCTACTTCCCCGCCAATCACAGCCGGCCCCTCAAGGTACCAACACACTTCTAGGCTACCGTACCTTACCATTCAAATCCCCCGTTCCCAAGGTTCCAAAGACCCAAGGGCTTTCAGAATTTCAGCGGCCAGCCACCACCTCGCGTTATTAGCTCCGACGACCAGTCTCATTCACTGCCCTGAAGGCTGAATCCGCCTGTCGCCCGCCCTTGGCCAACCAAACTCCCGACCACTGAACCCATCTACTTCGGGCTTCACCACCGAAGGCCCGCATCACTGTCCAACCGCCGTCATCTCCAAGGGCCAAGAAAGCATCGCTTGATCCAGCTCCTCCCCTTGAGGTGGCAGTGTCTCCGTTTTCTTGCAGCTTTCTGCACCCTGTTCCTACTCCTAGGGCCTACAGATACAAAGGCAGTTTCGACCTTTTCCCCTTGCCTCGGGAATCTTGCTGGAATCCCATTGCAAAGGTACACACCTTCTTTCGGCCACAGTCTCTCCGACCGTGCCTTGCCTGACACATACTGCAGCCAAGCTAGCCCAGCTGTGAGAAGGGCCACAGGCTACCTACGGTCCACGGATAACTGTCATCGAAGACGTACAGACTTTGACGCCGTTCCGCTGCAGACCTGCCACCGTGCCAGCAAAGAAAAGAAGGGAACCTCGAACCCCCACCCTGCTGCGCTGCTACCAACCCCTCCGATCTTCACACCCTCCAGGGCCTCAACGCCTAGGTACGACTGGTCGGCTGGTTTACCCCCCGCGTCTCCGAATCAGAGTCTCGATTTCATCCCGCCTCCCTGCAACCCCCAAAACCCGGACACTGCTACACTGGGCGAGAGAGGAGCTGGCAAGGCGCCAACACCGGCAATCGCTGTGCTGCGCTGCACGGTCTTCGTCGAGGACCACGGTCCGCTACACACCGACCACATCCTGTTCGTCGCACATGCTCAGCCCTTGCACCCCAGATACAGGGCCCTCACTGGCGACGACACGCTCAGCTACCCCTACCATACTGCTCTACGAAACTGGCAGCTCGTCTACTACGGATGCTCTCTCACGACTCACAGCTCTCTACCGTCTCTGCCGTCCTTTGTTGAATCTTTCTTGGGCCCGGGTTATCCTCGATTACTTCTGTCACCGACTGCTGAAAATAGAACATAGCAGTATCAGTACGGATATTCTACCTCGCATGCGCCAACTTGGTTGAGGCTTGAACAACTCGAGCAAGCCCAGACACAACATTGGAAAGGTGACAAAAATTCTCCACTCAACACCCACCACTCGACTAGACTTACCCACTTGTTCCGGACGTTGACATCGGTCAATTGGTCCAAAGTACCCCCCTACCTCGAAGCTTGGCCGACCCTACCCTCGCCCGTCGTCCTCATCTCTTTTTTTCTTCTGATTTTTATGAAAATCTTTTAGCAGCTATCCGTATACCCCACGGATATGTCCTATTCATAGACCTCCACACTTTGTCGTGCTTGGCGGTCGCTGTCACTCTGACTCCAGTCTCTCCCCTCTTCTTCACAAGAAAAGACGAGACAAGAGGTTCCGTCACCCTCCCAGAAGACGGACAACACAAACAAACCCTTGGCCAAGTTCCCACCACCAGTCCACCACACCTACCACCACCACCGCAGTCCCAGTACCAGCCGCCCCGTACAGCCGTACGTAAAGTACGGACAGACAGACACCCCAAAACCTCCAGCTTCCGCTACCGGCCGGCCCAGCTCTTAGCCATCGCACCCACGGCATCCAACCCAACCAGGGGCACTGGACTAACACGCCCCCCCCCCCCCCAGCCCACGCCAAACATTCTGTAACGAGACCGAAGAGCTCCCGCTCCACGCTCCAGGGCAAGAAAATCCCACTTTCCAGGCCGACCCGACCTACCATATCCTCGTGCTCGACTCGACCGTTTCTTTGCACGCCTGCCGACCGCCGATTGTCTTCGATCTCCCTCCTTTCCAAACTCTCGTGGCGGGGGAACTTAGAATCGCTTTTTTCCTCCCAACCATTCCTCTCCCATTCTGCTGCTTGTTTTGCCTCGCCCGACATGATTATCGACGGGGAGAAGTACGCCTGTGAGGCCTGCGTTCGGGGTCACCGTGTTAGCAATTGCCAACACTCTGGTAAGTTCATGGGCCTTTCTTTGCAATTCTCTTTTCATTGCAATTGCACCCATGCAATGCAGTTCAGTTAGCTTTACCACAACATACCCCAAGCTACCTCTACTCTACCGCTTTCACTTGGGGGTTTCCTTCTCCAACTACGCCATTGAGCATCGAGTTCCTCGCAAACATGTGCAGCTAACCGCCTGTCTTGCTGCAGATCGTCCCCTTCAACATATTAACAAGAAGGGTCGCCCCGTCTCCCAATGTCAACACTGTCGGTCGATGCGCAAGTCACGCTCTGCCCACATCAAGTGCGATTGTGGTGAGAAGACAAGCAAATGCGCTCACCTGCAGCCTTTGGCCGACGGCCATAGAGGTGAGTCTGCCCAAGGCTTTTGACAAGTCATCTGCCTCCATGATGTGAACATTTCCCCTCTAACACTCATGTTCCTCACGCGCAGAGACTTGTTGCTGCAACCATGGTGGTCGCTGCACTTGTAGCCACAAGAAAGAACCAGCCCTCGACACTGTCCCCGAATCCGACTCCGACAAGGAAGCCATCGCTCCTCGGCCGAAGCCGCCCGTCCGCAGGCGGCGTGCGAACACGGTCCATTCTGATGGCATGTTAACCTTTGACGAGCACGGCCATCACAAACCAGCACACAAGCTCAACAAGGCTTCTCAGAAGTGCGGACCTTATCAACTCAACCGTGTCAATTCCTTGCACAGCACCAGCAGCTTGGGCAGCCACTCTCCGGAGCGCATCAGTGACAACCCTCTCAAGGATCCCGTATCCGGCCGCGTCGCACCTCTTCCACAGAGACTAGTCAAGTCTGAAGCTGCTTCTCCACTCATGAGAGGTTCATCTGGTTTCCAGCAACTCAACAACCAGCTTCCGCCCCTTGATCTTTCTGGTATTGAGTACCCGACATATGTACCCAACGCCTCTTTCGACCTGTTTGGCGGATCGGGAATGTCGTCGGATCACGATGCGCCGATCTTTAGTGCCGGGCTGAGCGCTGCGTCCGTGGATTGGAGCCATATCGATCTCACTGACAGGACGGACAACTTTGCTCCCTCAAGTTACAGCCAGGCTGGCGCTCAGAGCTTCAATGGCATTTTCGATTTTGGTACGGGCTCCGAGCCAGCTCCCACCCTCGCCGCGACGACTTCGACGTCTGGGGAGGTCTCTGAAGTAGAGGACAACTTCATCGCTGGCGACAGTGACTACGACGGCTTCGGCACTGGAAGCAACAGCTTTATTCACCCAGCGAGTTTCCTTGCTGCTGGAGCAGACCTGAGCACGATTGACTACGACAGCTTCGCCAAATCATCGAACAACAAGTTCATGGCAGCACCTTCTTCATTTGATGACGGCGGCCCGATTGCTGGCGGCTCTCTCACTTTTGACGACGACCCAGCGTTCTGGGGTCAGCAATTCAACGACGGCATCGCCACATACCAAGAGTCGCCAGATGGCCTGCCGCAGTTTCAGCCGGAACCCTGGACGATGCCGTAGGCGTTTTGATATGATGACAATTTCGACGCTTGCACGCCAATGATATCCAGTCCAACGACTTTTAGACGGCAAGCACAGGCGCAAGGAATGCGAGCATAGGCGGGACGAGATTTTGTGGTGGACGACTGGATAGATGCCCGCTACGATATCCATACCTGGAGTTGGCGTAGATCTCTTGTTTTTTCTTCTTCAATTTGTTTACACTTTATCCGGACAGCATTAGAGGCTATTTCTTTCATATTTTTTTTTTGACGTTAGGCTTGACCATGGGACTGAAAAAGAAAAAAGACGGGGCGGGCGGCTCAAAAAAGAGTGACAGCATCTCATTATCATTACCATCATCAATTGGACTCGGCGCAAAGGCAACTGGGTAGCATCTAGGTGAGGCTATTGGGGATGGTTTGGTTACAGACGACAACGATTTATGTATGTAGGCCTTGGAAACCGGGTTTCAGTGTGCAATTGGCTCACCCTCACGACATATCGTTTTCCCTCATTGCACATGAACAAGCTGTATATAGAAAGACTTAAGCGGTTTCAGTTTCTTGTTGTTGAGGTGCGGGGCAATGAAAATGGTATCCATGTCAAGGCGATCGCGGAGGTGCATTCACGTAGTATTGTTTGCGTAGAGTGATAGATCTGGGCTTTGCTGCGCATTCGCAGAAGCTTTTATGTTCCGTGACTCTTGCTTTCCCTTGATACGGGCTGCAAGAGGTTCTCGTCCAGTAACGAAAGGCTAGCAGATGTCGGCGTAATAGGAATGGCTCAGAGGTGAAGGGGGCTTGATACATCGCCAGTTGAATAAGGGAAGAGGTCGCTGATCGAGATTTGCATGCCCGTAATAGTGGGTATAAGGGTTGAACTGGCCGTTGGCAATCCGAATTCGACAATCTCTTGGGGAATGAACTACTCACAAGTTACCATGCGCTCACCGAGATGACGCCTTGCTATTGTTTTTCATTTTACTTTCGACAAGCATTTGGCAACTTCATCGTTAACTGTCAAGGCAAGTCAATAGGTCAAACGGTGCACGAACCGAAAACTGAATGTGCCACCGATGTGGATGACGAATGCGAATGAGATGAGAGAGGGGCACAAGCCAAGGCCCAAACGACCTAATAAAATCAAAGCTAGTACGGGTATACGTAGCTTTCGATATTCGATGACAGGGCCCACATCAATCAGATAAAAGGGCCTTGCAATACCGATTGAGTTATGCGGCCTTGGGGGAGGGGAGGGGAGGGGGGTTTATTGTGTAGACGAAGGCTTGTACTCCGCAGTTGCTCTGTGCTGCGGCATCTATTCTACATCTATTATTCTACATCTATTACAGTCACCAGTAAGGTACGGAGAGTACCGTGCTTGGTGCCTTGCCTTCGTGCGCTGTGGCCAGGTTGCCTACCAGCCATTTGCTCATTGCAACTACTTCCTTACCTTAGATACACCAACTGATATGACCTCACTAGGTAGGTAAGTACTTGAGTGTCAAATTCGAAGCAAAACGCAGAACTCCAGCCGAACAGACGGCCGGCAGTAGGAGCGGGCAGCAGGAACTCAGGGAGAAGCAGACAGCTGCAGCCTGCAGGTGCCTTTCACGAACTACCTACCTTACCTTACACACCTGTATCCGTACCATTAGGGCTTCAGGGCTCTGTCGGGGGACCCTCCTTTCCTGTTCCTGCATATCATCCATCTAGGCTGGCACCGCCTCACCATCGGCGCTTTCCACCATGGGCCATAGCGACCCTGGGTCTGCGACTCTGCGCGAGCCCGCTGCCCCAGTGGTGTTTTCCAACCGAATGATTGGTACGGTGGAAGGTGGTCACCGAATGTGACTCTGTCCGGAAATCGTCCAGGTCCTGTCCAATCTCCATCCAGGGAAGTTCCCCCCTTGTGCTCCACGGCACTGAGAGTGCCAAGTGGCCAGTGCCCACCGTCGTGTAATAATTCTCCTCATCTGCCCTCCCTCCTCTTTCTTCTCTTGAGTCTCCCACCCCTTGGGAGACTCACTCGAGGGGTATCCACCGTAACTGACGTTGCGGGAATCGAGAGGGACTGGGCAAGTTGCAACGGTGATTGATGAACCCACCCGAGCTCCGTGAGAACCGTGTGGATTGTGACCTGATCATCCAATCAGGTCCATCAGACCTCCGGCGTCCAAGCTCCGAAGCGCATGTTGGCAGATACAGTGCCGAACTGACTGAATAGTTGTGAGGAGCTGCGGACTCTATGCGTAGGTATACACACTTGGTAGGAGCGCAGGCTGACAACCAGTACGGAGTACGGATACAGAGCAAGCGAGTAGGTAGTAGGTATTAGAATGCTCGCCGAAACGGTTATCTGGGCCGGCAACGGTGGCTGGGTTGGTGGAGGCGCCGCTGCCGAGCCAGAGTGTGGACTTGTGTGCGACCATGTGAGTGTGTCATCACCTGCTGTCAACACCGGCGCGGCTCTCGGCGCCTTTAGACGAGGGAATGGGGGCACAAGGGGGGTCTTCGCAGGGGCCTTCCAAATCCCCCGTGGGCGGTGGCAGTCGATGATCTCCGGTGCTCGGGAGTTGGGACTGCAACCAATCGACGCAGATAGCCCCGAGATAGATGCTGTACCATGTATGTGAAGCGTGTATTCAATTGCCTTGAGTCGCGGCTAACGTGCCAGAGGCTGAGAATAAGTCATGAGCGGCAAACTCGGCAGTGAGAGAGGTCCGGGAAGTGTGGTACAGGAACAGGACACTTGCTTTCCAGAGTTCGCGGCACTGCCCATCACTGCTTCTCCCAGAAAGTCGGAACCCAGTTTCGATACGTTGTCAGTCAATTAACTCTGACGGCATACATCACATGGTTCTTCCTGCATGGGGCCAGCAGGCGCGCGGTGCGCCAGCTAGCAGGTTTTCCCATGTGCCACTTCGAGGTCGAGGCTACCTACGCGTGCTACGGATAGTTTAACAGCGATTTGGGGAAGGTAGGGGGTTCTTTAGCAGCTTACCTTACTCTCGGGTCAAATTCTTCACCGCCTTCTACCTCAAGCCAACGACCAAGTTTTGCAGGACAACCCCCTCCCCCACTCGCGCGTCGGTGACAACAAGGGGCGAACTAGGAAAATGACATGGAGACTCCCAAATCATAATGGCATCTGGTGCGTACAATTGTGGTATCATTACATTGAGCCATCGGCTAGAATATGCATCAAGGCGAGAGAAGGCTTTGGCATATGAGGATATGGCTTACAAACAGAACTAATTGTACATTACACTTCATATTAATACAAGCCAATGCTGAAGCACCCAAAAAGGTGCCGCAAGCATCTGTATCTTTCACTGGTGGGTGGTAACCTTGTAGGTAAACCACCTGGTTGATCCATATTGACCACCTTCCTCCATAGAGGCACTCGCCCACTGTCGCTGTCGACATCTTCAATAGTACCAGTAGTGCTTTTTGCCAGTCACTTCTGAGTGTCCCAGAGAGTCCGTATTCTCAGGGTTGCGGGCATATGCCTGTCTGTCACTACGCCGATCGGTAACTTGATACTCCAGCTGCAGTAGTTGTTGTTGTTCCAGCAGCAGCGCGTGCCCCTGCACCTGCAATTCTTCCTCTCCTTGTTGTGGATGATGCAGTACCTGCTGTGGTTCCGGGGCACCCCCCATCTCCTGCAGCTGCTGACAATCGGTCATTTGCTGCGCGAGATGTTGTTGTTCATGCCGCTGCCGTTGCTGCTGCTGCTGTTCGATCCACGCAAGATGAGAAGGCTCCTAGGCTGCTTGTTGAGTTGCGCGGACAACGTTGAGGTAACCGATAAGCAGTAAAGGCCGAGGGTCGAAGCCCATGTCTTCGTAGCTGGGTGCAGTGCGGTAGGTCGGTGCCTCTTCTGTCTTTTCCACAGCCGCCGATGAAAGAGTTGCCAAATCGGCCAGATGCTGCAGCCCTTGGCTCGCAGCAGCCTCCATGGCAGACGGACCTGGAGCTGCGGCAGTATTCGTGGAGAGGCGAAGGTGATCAGCAATCCTGTCCCGAACCAGTCCATCAAAGACGGAAGCTGGAAGCGAGGAATCTCGGAATTCACCGAGAAGCCTTGTGGCCTCTTCCTTTGTCTTGTCCAACTTTGCCAGCTCGACTAATGTGAGCACCGCAAGAACTGTAAAATGATGGTGCAAGGGTGTGATGAGCTGCGAATGGCCGATCAGGAGGTTGATTAACTCTTGACTGGGCCACAAGACATCGGTCGACTTGGCGGATGGGTTGAGAAGATACGCCAATAAGCGGCAGTGCCAATAGACAAGATGAACAACAGGATAAATGTTGGGCTCGATGTGGGCAGGCAGATCCTCACGAAAGTCTTCTACCCACGCATCCATGAAAGAGCCCACCATGCGGTCCGCAAAGGTTGTGTTGAGTGGCTCTTGGAAGTTGGTAATCATGGATGACGCACGGCTGAGAAACTTGGATGCACCTGCTATATGGTCAGTACCCCGCAACACTATGACATGTTTGCATGGGAATATTTGCTCAAGAAAAAAGAGAAAATGAACACTTACGGATCAGCAGGTATGGCACTTCGCCAATGACCGCCTTGAGGCCAGGTGCCAGTACCACGCTTTCATCTCGGATCAAGGAAGGCACCGCAGCACCCACAGCATTCCATCGGTCGAGCAAGACCAACGACCACCAAATTCTGACACGAAGGTGGCTTTCGTTATCTGGGCCTGCTTCGGCCTCTGAAAGATCTGCCTTGGCCTGATATAGCTTCAGGGTGTTGGCGCTCGCTACCGCCCTGCCCAACAGGGATTCCTTGGGTGCGCCGATAGAGCCCAGTGGTCGAATGTCAGCCTCAATAATCATGAGGAGAAGTGTCTGGAGGAAAACGAGGTTTGCAACAGCAGTCCGAGAGGTAGAATCGCTAGCCTCCCATTCTACTAATAGCGTGTGGGCGAGGCGGACGTCTCCAGGAGTACCTGACTGGAACGAAGGGAATGAGTGAATAGTTCCCGAGAGAGCCTCTACAAAAGCTTCCCGAAGAAGGCCGGGGCACTGAGCCAAATACTCTTGTATCAACACCCTGCTGCTCGGCAGGAATGGAAAGTAAGGATGAATCATGGTCAGGTAGCTGCAATTTGTGCATTAGTCTCAGCTTTCAAAAAGTAAAGGGACATTAATCACATACCCATTGAAAACCTCTTCATCCACATCTCGCGCCTGATCAATATCAGGCATGTCAGCCACAGGGCCATCCATTGATGCAATAGGGGGCCGTGGCTGCATGTCATTCTTAATGGGCAAAGCCAAAGGCTGGGGTGCTAAGCCATTGGTGGCGAAAGGGGACGGTTGATAACGATCAGATGGTGTTGCTATAGGCTGAAGAGGGCGAGGCTCGGTACCCCAGGCGACCTGTCTCTGTGGTGCTGGAGTAGAGATGTCGGTGCTGGAGATGCTGGAGAATGGTCGTTTCCGGCTGTTGTCCTCACCAGGGCCTGACATGGAGTTAAGCATTGCTGCCGCAGAGGTCCAGTTTACCATTGACTCGGGTGGCAATGACTCACTTTGGATCTCCAACTTGCCCTCAATGCTGTTGATCCTGTCGGCAAGTTCTTTTATGTATCTGAGGCATTGTGTCAGTCTCTGGATCTTGTAGATACAGGAAGCGAGCGCCATTCCCAACCTACCCCTTGCTTGGACCGCGCTTCTGAGGAACACGGCTAAACATGCAGCGGATGCCAGACCGCTTGCAGTTGGAGCATGGGCTGTCTCCAGCATCTGACTGGGCATCGCATTTGACCTTCTTTCTCCGGCACTCGTCACATGCGCGAGACACCTTTGACCGTTTTCTAGGCGGAGTGCTGTCACCCAGGGCATATGGTTGAGCAAGATGATGGTGGTCCATGGGCATGGACATGGGCATGTGTTGCTGTAGTGACTCTGGCAATGCTTCCTCGGATACGTAAGAACGAGACGCAGGCGGGAGGGGAGGGGGCTGATGAGGGTGCTGATGTGGATGCTGGTGAGGAGGATGCTGGTGCTGGTGCTGTTGAGCCTGTGTCTGAGCCTGCGCCTGTGTTTGCGTCTGCGTCTGTGTTTGTGTCTGGGCTGAGGTCGGGGCCTGTGCCTGTGCCTGTTGCTGTTGAGATTGAGGTTGCTCCGAATGGGAATTGGAATGAGGATTGGGCATGATGCTACGAAGACTTGGGTCCTCGACGTTCATGCCTGGATCTGTGACGTGCATCAGGGGCTCTGCCGCAAGATCCTGGCCAAGCTGAGCAGCTAACTGCAACTCCTCCACACTGGCAGAGTGTGACGAGGGCTGCTGTGGCGTGGGCGGCGGCTGTTGCTGTTCTTGGGGATCATCGTCCCGTGTAGCCGGGTGATAATAAGGGCCGCTGTCTTGAGCTTCGGCCGATGGCGAAGGATAGCTATGCATTCGATCGGCTTCTTGGAGCCGCTCCTCTGGCAAAGGAGACGGATAACTCGGGATGCGCTCCTCGTCCATTCTCTCGCTCTCCAGTCTCTCGCTCTCCAGTCTCTCGTGTTCCAGTCTCTCGTGTTCCAGTCTCTCGTGCTCCAGCCTCTCGTGCTCCGGTCGCTCATCCACCCTTGCGTCGTGGAGCGTCTCTTCTTGTATGCGGTCGTCGTTCATGCCGTCTACCTGGATATCATCCTCTTGCAGTCGGTCCTCCTGCAAGCCGACTTCATGCATTCTGCTGTCATCTTCCAGTTTGCTCTCTTGGAGATCTTCCACCTTTAATCTCTCTTCCTCGGTCGTCTCGCCTTCCTGCGTCGAAGTCATGGCGACAGATGTTTAGGGCGGTCTGTGTGAAGCCGACTACTATCGATTTCGTTTCGCGACACTGCTGCGCAAGACACAGCAGGACCAATTATTCAGGGTTTTCGGGTGGGTAATTGAGCATCAGCTGGGAAATATGGCGAAAGGTTGACGAGTGGACTGCGTCAAAATGAAGCCAGGACTCGTTACGCAACAGGAAGCGGGAGGTGGACGTAGGAAGTCGAGGGCTCTTCGCGACGAGAAGAAGGCGCGTCAATGGAAATGTGTAGTGCGAGTTCGTGCATGCACAGGAGCGCGTCGCGATTGCGTTGCACGACCAAGCGGTGAGTCCTCGAGCTCGAGGCGGGCTTCAATTCACTGTCTTAAAAAACTATGTGTTTAGTATCTGTACTCTCTAGGAATGTGCAAAGTTTTTCCTCTCGTCTTCCTCGTTACCACGCGATAATTGGAAATGGTAGCTTGCGTTCTCAAACTTTTCCCATCCATTCGCGCGACAAGCTCCAGGTAGGGGCGAGTCGCGGAAGTCAGCTGTGATGAGAGCAGTTCTGTAGCCATCGTCAATCGCAATAGTGCGACAGCGATGGCATCTGCGAGGGTTTTGATTCATCGCAGCAGTGCCGCCGCAACAGCAGCAGGTCACCCGAGTAGTAAAACGCGTGGGGGTTGAGGGAAAATAATGAATCGGGCTGACTGACCTCTGCTCTCTCTTCAAAAGATAGTCCGACGCGGGCTGTCGTGATGGATCTGCTAAGCAGGCGATCTGGTGGACGGAATAGGAAGAACCAGGCAGCCGATGGAGGTTGGAAAGGCGTTGATTGATCCGGGTTGCGCTGGAGTTTTGACCTTGGGGATTCTCAGTCAGCACAGGGCGGGCTTTCCTGGTTCGTCAGGGTTTGTTCGGAACTGGGGACGTGGACACTCCCGTCTACGTCTCACGTGGGCCCGACGCGCTTGACTGGAAGAATTTTTTTCTGCGGATGCCGGGAAAACCACTGGGGACGGCAGTGGAAGTGTGGGAAGGTACTGAACGTAATATTGGTAACTACTTAGGTACGTACGAAGTACAGAAGGTGGTAAGGTTCCTACCGCGTACCTTGTGTGCCAGGCACTCACCATCGTTGAAAATACATAGCTGTTTTTAAGCGTCTGTGCGTACTACGTAATCGAGGAGCTTGGGCCACCTCGGTGGCTCAACCTCCTGTACAAGAGTCCCTCCACATCTCCACGATTTCACACACAAACTAATTCCTTACCTTACGGGTATGAGTAGTACTTAGCTAAGGTAGGCTGTCAACCTGCGAAGAAGGATACCTCATCGAGTGCGAGTTAACTTTTGTTACTTTTGTACCTACTTTTAAGTTGAGTAATAGCTTACCAAGTATTGTACGATGATCCGACCCTGTTCCCCTTACTTCGGCCAGTCAAGAAATTTAACAAGGCAACGCCTCAGAAAAAAAGGGGCATCTTCGTTCTGATCTCAATTCGCCCTCGATGTGATACCCAGGTGGGCATCTTGACCCCCACTTCCAAGTTATTCTAGGCGCAGCAGAAAAGGGATTCATGTCTCAATAGTCAAATTCGGCTTTCTGTAGGGTATCAAGATCTGTCGGGCCATCCATCAATCCTATTCCTGACCCAACAGGAATCCTCCGCCGTCTTCATCTTCCTCCATATCGTATTCCTCAGTCACATCGCTCAACACATCTTCGACCTCGTTGTCCTCTTCTGCCTCAAGACTTTTCTTCCTTTGAGTCTTAGGCCTTGCCTCGACTCCAGCAGTTCTCTCAACTGCATCAATGTTATCAAATTCCTCATCAGTATCAACTAGGAAACCGCCCTCATCAGCCTCCACCCCATCACCTGCGGCGCCCTCACCAATGTCCACGTTGTGGGCAGCAGAATGACTACCTCTCTCTAGATCAGAGCCATTTGTGCTCTCCCTTACATCGGCCCTGCTTGTGAGTCCCGCACTGGTCGATGTCTGCGCAACATCGTCAACCATGACGCTGTCTTCAATGAGGAAACCTCCGCCCTCCTCTGTACCGTAGCCGTCCGACCCCTTATCTATGTCGGTCCGGACGGATTCGGTCAGCTTCCTTTCTTCCTCGGCCCGCTCTGCAGGCTCGACGCCTGCCCACACGCGCTCAAAGATCCGCAGCGCCACAAGGAACCGCCTCCAAGTCCGGACGGCGACCAAGGATCGCTTGCTTTGCTCTTCTTGTGCGTCTACATCCTCGAACCCAGTCATCACCGCACGCACAGCCTCCTCGTACTCCTTCGCAACCACGACGCCGTTGAATACCGCAGTCCCGTGTTTGCCCTTGAATTGAAACCCTGACAGAGCTGGCGCGTAGTCGACCCCCAGAATGTAGGCGGCTCTGGCAGCTGTATCAAACTCGTCATGGATATGGACCCCTCCCTCGGGTATCATGCTTTCCACGTATATGTCGATGTTACCAAATTTGTTCTTTGGAACTCGCCCATTGACGACCGGTGACGCGCGGTAAACATCCGTCTGATCCTGTGTGAAGACCGGCGTTCCTGCGGCATTACGTTCATCTCCACCGTAACCGTCGTCGGCGTACTCGCCCGGTTTCGCGTTGGACCTTCGCGACAGAAACTTGATTGGAACCTCCATTGGCTTGACTTCGCGCCCCATGCGATACCATTTGTCCCTGCTCCGGGCAATTCGAACATCCTTACGTCGATATACTTTTTCCAAGGGGGCCCTGCTACCTGCAGCTACCGTTCCTGCCGGTTGCGCGTCTGGTGTAAAGACTTCGTTGCGCCTCAGATGCCTCTCCAACGCAAATACCGGATGGTCTTTGAAGTCTGCCACATTTCGCGGCATCGGTTCGCGTGCTTCAATCGCATTCAGCTCGGTGTTTTCGATTTGGTCAAGATCGGTCAGCCGACGCCGGCTGAACGGCTTCAATGCTTTCCGCCACCAACCCTCGCCACGTTCCATCACTGTCTCAATGCGCAGACGACGTGTCTTGGCCGTGTATGCCTTGGCATATCGCCTAGTGACGTCCCGAACTGTGCCATCAATGTCGAAAGCAATGACATATGTCAGAGAGTTCTCCTTGTCGGTCGCCGGGGGCTCCAGCTGCCTGGGTTTCCACATGGAATTTGTTACCAGAGAGTCTACGGGCTGCCACTTCTGGTGGCCCATGTCTAGCACTTCCACCCAGTACACCGGAAAGCTCGACTCGCGAATCTTCATGGGAGCCTCAACCTGTCGCCGCAGAGTCGGCGAAGTCGATGCTGTTGGCAGCTTATAGGCTGCGGCATTCGGGTGACCCAATCGACGAAGCGGTGAAGTCAAGATGGAGGCAGAAGACGAAGGTTCCTCGGCAGCCGACTTGTATTGTAACAACTGTGACCTTATTTTCTCCTCCTTGGTAGGCTTATTCGAGTGCTTTACATCTCTGGGTCTTGGCAGAGAGGGACCGGCTGAACCAAAAGAGAGCGGCTGTAATGAACAGACCAATCGTGCGCGAACTCCTACAGCCCTCAGCAAAGCACAGTACAACTGCGCGCCGGTGTCCCGAGACCCTGACAGCTTTCTTGCAGCGTCTTTGAAGTCCGAACGGTGTAAGCATGAATCCATGTTGCTAGGTGGTTCGTACTAAGGCAAGAGGATTAGCATGTTGCTTCGCGTGCGATATCCTGGAATAGACTCACGTCTTTCAGATGGTCAGGGTCTTCAGCCCACAGTGGCCGACGCAGGCCCCGTTCAGTTATTTGGAATTTGGATCTGAAAATGGCTCCAGCCTGTTCAAGGCCGTTCTTTAGAGATTCCGTTTGTCCAAACTGGGGAAGACTAGGGCTTGGTGTCAAGTAGCCAATAGTTTTTTTCGAAAGCAGAGGACGCAATGTCTTGTGAACCTGTTCATCATCACACCAACGATTTCTGAGGGCACAGTGTAGCAGGAGACACAGCAGATGAGTCTGGTGTATCGTGATGCGCCGCTGCTTCTCTTCCTTTGTCACTGGCTTTCGCTTGTTGATACCTTTGCTTGTGACGGTCGTGGCATTGGCGTGCTTTGATAGATTGAGAGTTAGTTTTTGGGGTTCTTCCTGGGAGTCTTGAAAGTGGTGTGTGGCTCCATAGGCAACATTGTCGAGATTGGTAGCCTCCTTATTTTCGACTTCTTCTTCGATGTCATCATCAAGATCATCCTCTTCATCGTCGGAATCTCGGTACATGGTCTGGACGGTCGCCGGAGGTAAAATCACGTCTTCAAACTCAATGTCTGCGTCTTCGTCGTCCTCCGCAGACCCTTCCTGTTCTGTGGCCTGTGACTTCACGGCCTCTGCTTTTCCCTCCCCTGGTCGCTTTAGTCTTTTAGCTGAGGGCTCTGAGAATGCTGAAGAGCCGGCGTCCGCAGCAGCTTCAATCAGCATTTCTTGATAGACATCCAGTACGTCGGACTTTGCGGCCCTGGTTCGTTTCCGGCCCGCCATTGTGGCCCTGGTTGGAGTGGATGTTGATATCAGGTTGGGAAACCCTTATGCAGTGGACGCAGGGGCAGGCGGGGCAAGAGGACGCAACGTAGGTGAGGTAGGTGGTTGATATTAGGTTGTCTGCTACAGAATGGCTGTAGTGAATAATCTAGGTGTGCTTTGATATATTCTGGCCTATCTTACCTTTACCTTCCACAAATAGATAAAGGTAGGGTGTCTGTGGGTACCTCCCGTGCGTACCTCGCGGCAGGGCAAGTACTTGGGTTGAGGGCTCTGTAAGTGAAGCAAGGGAAGGTACCTTATCGGTGGGTATACGGTAGGTAGTGTGTATACCTCAAGACAAGGCAGGCAGAATGAATCGAACACTTCGTCGCTGACAAACCATGGGGCATGACGTCATTGCAGCAGTGGCAGCGTACCGCAGGCAGCAGGCAGCAAGGTGAAGTCAAAACGCCGGGTAACTCAAAGCCACGTGACTTTAGACCGTTGCCTATCAACCATGCTAATTTCTCGACAACTGTGCCATCTTGAAGTTACTGGGTCACTTCATAGTTCACGAGGTGATACATAAGACAAGGTAAGTATTACGAAATGACACGGTGATTAAGTGATCACTACTATACGCTATCCTTTCTGCGAGGCTAGTTTTTACTGCGGTAGAAAATAGTGGTGTCCAGCGGCAACCTTTCGCCCATCCACGTAGCTCTTTGTGTGTGATTACGGAGTTCCGTGGCATTATGGTCAACGCCTTCCTCGACTGTGTTGGGATGAACAAGAACGGAAAGAGGGCCTCGATATATGGTCAACCATGGTATGAATGCACCAAACTGTGCTGGCGTGAAGATGTTGACTTCAAACATAGCCACGGGGTGGGGGCCAATTGGCTGTTCCCAGAATCGGTAGATTCTTAGCTCTGGGACTGGAGAAGCAAACATCAGCCATTCCTTTCTCTCAAGCCGGATCAATTGCAGACACTTACATTCCCTCCGAATGCGTTCCCAGAGGTCTCTGGCATGCTTTACTTGTTCTGGGTTGCCTTGAAAATGGTAGATGTGGACGTCACTGCAATGCGTACCGTAGGTTAGCACCACAAGCGAGAAGTAAGGTTACCCCAAGGTACCTAAGGTAGTACGTTGCAAATGTCGGGTCGCTTACAAGCCACCTTGTCTCCCAGTGTCTAGGGGAGCTGGAAACTCCTCATACGTCTTGCTCAACCCCTCTCGTGGTGGGTTTCTGAAGCTCTTGCCATCCTCGTTGAGCTCAGCTGGCAGCGGGGGGGCACTTTCGTACCCCTCGCGAGGGGAGATGTAGGTATAGAGCGGAGTATTGGCTGCCATGGCCACTCTGTATGCTTTGATTAAGGTATGCAGCGTCTTACCAGCTGCGGGTGTCTAGTTTTGAAGATACAAGGAATACCGAAATTCAGTGGCCTGGGCCTTCGTGCAATCGACATGAGACTGGCATACTCCTTCAACTTATATACACACATGTCAGGCAATTAACGCACCCTCGGAATTGTCAGACGTCCAAGTCATTGTTGCGCTGTTTCGCGGACGCCACTGGTGTTGGTCAGCACGCGATGGGATCCACTCACTTTCTAAGCAACCGCGCGCGCAGAAGACACTAAGGTGTGGACAGGCCCCATTTGGCTTGGTCGCTCTTTGCTCCGACCTACTCCGGATGGACATAGGCACTCGGCGGCGGCATGCAATCAATCTTTCATTGATGCACGTTGTCCAAAGGTCACCGCACCTCCGCTTCCGCAATCTTCACCAAGTTCAACATGCGGGGATCAAGAAAGTCCACCACCTATAGCGCAAGTTCAAATGTATTGCTCACTGTCATTAAGTGGCCAATTTGTCCGTGGAAAGGACCGACAATCTCAACCAAGCGCAAGTATACAGCATCTTCGGAAACCGATACTCCAAGCCGCAACAAGGCATACCCCAAAACTACATATCAAAGCTGCAAAACTCCCGAGAATCTCGCTCATGTCATGAATGCTCGTCAACTCAGCCAATCGTGTCACCCTCTGCTCCCTGGGAAACCGAACTTCTCTAACACGGCTGAAGGTAATTGCTTGGGACCAGCCCCATGCGTCCATTACTCCCGTGAATTTCAGCTTCCCACCACCCGTCATCTTGGTGACGCAGAACGGCAAGAAGGTCCCCCTTAGAAAATCCTAGTTCTTCTGGGATAGCCGCCTGGTAAACGTACAAAGCCCTTGCTGCACCCTCGTTAGCACCGTCTTTTTCTTCTTCTTCTTGTTACAGGGCCAGCACTTACCAAAATGCAATATGGGGCGGCCATCTCGAGTATATTGCCGAGATGGGTCTGCCACACTCTTGCTACGCTGTCTCGACTCGCCTTGTCCCGGTGGTCCGCCGCCTTCGTAGAGTCCCATGGCCCGATTGCTGGAGCTCGTTCCAGGTCGACTCCCGCCACGGCCACGGACTGATCCATAGCTCTCATCACCTACAGGCGCGAGTTGGACAGCTAATTCATTGGCGACATGGCTGCTGCCCGGTCTCATCTTCTCCAAGTAAGGGGCTGGGGATGCCGCTCTCGACACTGTGCTAGGTGACTTCTGCTGGTAGTAAGGCTGTTCTGACCCCCTTCTGGGTACGTTGCTCATCCGCGACGAGCCTCGTCCCAGAGAACCTTGAGGATTAGGAGACGATGATCGGTATCCACCCCGAGTATCCTCGGCCGGCCCAGCTCTCGGCGAAGCAGTACGCGGGGCGCTTCTGTAGCCGCTTCGCATGTCCTCCATCGGTGCCGTTCTCGGGGAAGCGCTTCGGAGGGGGGCGGGTGACGCTGCTCGAGGAACGTCGCTACCTCGTGTCATTGGCCGTGAGCTGGTCGTTCCACCGTAGCTTGACCCAGGGCGATTAGCCGGGTTAAACATGCTACGAGTCTGGTCGGTAAATTTGGCCGATGTCTCTTTCATGGCCTTTGCTGTCACCGCCTGAGGTGGTACGCCGAGTCTCTGCACGACTTGCTGATCATAGGGAGGCGGCGTGCCTCGAAGTCCCCCGGCCGTTGCATTGCTGCTCCCCACCGCTGGGACCGACCTAGAGAATGGCTGGGAGCCGGGCGTCGGAGTAGCAATGCCGTGATAGCGGTCTGCGGAAACGCGCACGCTGGACTGCTTTCCTACGCCTACGCCAACGCCCTTGAGCTCGGCCAGGGCCAGGGCAATTGGGTCCGTCTCAGGCTGAGCGGCCGGAACATTGGATCCCTTCCTCTTCTCCAGGTCTGGATTTGTGACGGAGAAGACATTCTGCCCAACGTTCAATGCGAGACTAGCATTTGCATCAATTGGCTCTGGGCTCACGGTTGATCTGTCTCCTAGCAGGTCTGATGTCTCCTGAGTCTGCAACTGGGGCCTTCGAGCCGGACTTCCTTGAGATGTTACTGGGTGCCAGGTGTTTCTGTTCGCCGGCGGGCCTGGTGATTCCTTTGTGCTCTTGCGACGGAATGGGCTATGATTTTGGAAGAAGCCGCTCCGTTTCTTGAGGACTTGCTTATCAGGGACCGGTGCCACACTCACCGGTTCCTGCTTAACGGGCGATACTTTACCGCTCACTGGTTCTTGGCTTGAAAGCGAGGTTGGGTTCGAGTAATCGCTGAGGGAATCACGGCTTGAAGGCCTGGCCGAGGGCGGATGCGAGCTACGCTCCGAGGGTGGGCCGGTACGGCAAAGCATTGTCATGCCGTCGAGAGGGTACGGATCATGAGGGACTGGCGCAAATGATCCACGCTGACTCATGTCAAGAGAAGGTCGGCTTGCTTGCTGCTGCTGTTGAGCTGGGGGATGAGCAACCGGTGCTGCCTGCCGGATTTGGTCCAAAGGTCTCTGTGTGGCAACTGGTGCTTCGCGAGCGTTAGGGGGTAAGATTTCCCGACGGCCCGTGTCTTGAAGATAGTTCCTTGCGGTTGGGCTTGCATCCTTGTGGCCCGGGTTCAAGCCAAATCCTCTTGGAGAGGAGCTGACATCCTTTGGTGCTGTATCATGAGCGAGGTGCCTAGACGTAGAAGGGCTTGCATCTTGACGCCTTGAATCGGGGGCGACAACGGCTCTGGGAGTAGCTAAAGGTGGATCTTTGTGTCCTAGATCCTGAGCAAGACTTGAATTGGGATCGTGGTGCGATTCGTATGTCGAGGGTTGCGGTGAAGACGATCTGAACGCCGGGTTTATACTCCTTGGAAATTGGGCAACGGAGTAGCTGTCGTCGTCCGACGTTTCCGATTGCGTGTCGTTGACATCTCCTCGACAAAAGTTGATGTACTTTGGCGCATCTGGGATCTCTTGGCCTGTACCTTGTTCTTTGATGAAGCTGATGATGTCCGTTTCAACATCCATCGTTTCCAGTGATAAACGGATCTTTTCGCAAGAAGCATCATCGCTGACGCAAACAGTGGAAGAAATGTTGGCGAACGTCCACAAGCTACTCTTTGTGAAGTCAAGACGCTCTTCCTCTAAATCTTGGAACTTGTCCGCAGCCGCCTTCCACTCTCGGTTCCACCTCACTGTCGTGTCCTCAAGTGCCTTAACAGCATTTTCGTACTCGGTATTAGACGTCGCAACGCTGATCTGCGTCTTCTCTAGCTTTGCCTTGTTCTTTCGCTCCTCTTGGCCCATAACCATGTGACCCTGGGCGAGGTAGCCCTTGATCTTAAGGCACTCCTGCTCGAATCGGTCCCGCGTCTATTGTCTTCGTCAGTACATGACTCGTCGAGAGACTCAATCTGGAAGACTCATGGGCCAATTCGGATTTGGGAGCATGATCAGAACTGACCTTGTTGACGTGCTGTGTTTGTTGTATCTTCGTCTTGAGGATCTTCTCAATCCCATTTTGCACAATCTTCCTTCTCTCCTTCATACCACCCGCGAAAGCGGCAAGAGGCTCTTCCAGTTCTGTCTTCATTTGCGCTGCGATGTTCTGATGTTGCTTCGCCATCGATTCGACCTCGCCTCGAACAGTGTCGAGGGAAATCTTCAGACTTCCCGACTCATGGGATCCCAATGATTTCCGACACAAAGAGAGTAGCTTTCGGGAGTATTCGTCTTCGATAGAGGCACGAGCTGTACTGGACATTAGCTCTCGGCTGTAACATGTCAAGTCGTGTTACTTGCCGCTGTAGAAAGCTTTCAATTCATCGCATGTTTGTTTTGCAGCGAGCATGCGATCCAGCAAAGGACCTACACCAGCATCTTCCTTTCCCCAGAAGTTGTTCGCGACTACATGTCGAGTCAGTCAGCTCCTGCTTTGCTGCAGAGACACAGAATTGCAACATACATGACAAAGCCACGCTTGGCCCATCTGCCGTCGATATAGGCATGATGCCTACGAGTGGCTTAAAGCCCTTAAATCAGGAAAATAATCTGGATGGGTATGGCGTTACGTGCGATCGATACAAGCTACTGAACAGTAGAAGAATGTATCAAGGTTCAAGAAGAGCCCTTGGGTCTCTTTGCGCACAACCTCGAAGTGATGTTTCTGGCCTTTTCGCGTTTGAAAGCTGGAGTTGGTTGAGAGCCACGTTGGCGTCAATAACTGTGGTCGGATGACGGGTCGGTCGATTGATGAATAGATACCTTAGCCAATGTAATATTGTTTGGCTCCGTTGCCGGGTAACCGTGTCATTACATAAGGCGGCCTTCCTGGACGTCCTACTTTAGTGGGGGTGTCTCGGCTGAGATTAGCGTGTCCTTAGATCAAGCATGGCTGCCTGAGGGAAATGGCCTGTAGTAATAAGGTTTCCGTTTCAGTAGCAAGAAAAGTACCTCAGGCGGGCACGACGGCCACGACAGTAGCTAGGGCGATAGGCACTTTACAGAGGCATGCAGGGCATTCGGAGTGCTGGCCGAGCACTAAGTGCCCAGGTACCTACCGAGATGCCTCTTCCTACCTCAAGGTGACAAAGAGAGGGAGTTCCCTGTCATCAGAGGTCTTGATGCTGAGAAAAGGTATACCTGCTTGCCTGCCCTACCTAAGGTACCTCACTACCTAGGTGCTTCTCCCCAGGTCAAGACTACTGACATGTCACGTGCCCTGACGGGCTCCTCCCCCCACCTATCAAACCAGCGGTACGGAAACTACCTACCTCAGTACCTTCGTTGGATTGAGTACCAAAGAGGCCAGCTTGTGAATTCAGAAGAGATTCGATATCCGTCCACCCGAGCTACCTCAGGAGTACCTCCCTGTAGCATGTCTACCAAAGGTAGGCTGCATTTGGTGCCTCAAGTATGACTTTCTGGGGCGGTGTAGGTGCACGCGGCCTGTCACCTTGCCTAGGGCACTTCAAGGAACCTTACTCCAGGTACCTATTTGGCCTGCCTGGTAGGGTAAGGTACCAGGTACCACGGACCTTACCTGGAGATTCCTGCCGTAGGTACCTAGGTTCCTTACTCTCCACTGTGTGCCTTCGCCCATGAGGTCAGGTACCTTAGGTAAGGCACATTTTCCCTTGGGTGCCGTCCATTCTCCGCCTTGTGCATGTCCAAGCCAATCCCCTACCGGCAACCATAGCCTCCACGTCCTCACGTACCTGCCAAACCAGCCAGGCTCTAATTTCTTCTTCTCTTTGCGAAGCTGTCAAGCACCGCACGACAGACGTTCCCGATCGATCAACGTCGCATATTCTACGAACTCTCCCTCTCTCCATCTCACT